GCACATGGCTCTTTAGTATCCCACGGCAGGGCTGGGCTACAAACTGAGCTCAAGGCCAGCCTGAACTGCACAGTGAGACCTTATGTCAAAAAGAAAAAAAAAAAAAAAAAAAAAAAGGAATGGAGCCAAAGGTGGGACAAAATTTGTGGCTTCCAGGGCGGCCGTGGGGACAGAAGGAGCTGTGCAGGAGGAGCAGCCCCTGGCTTTCTAGGTGCAGATGTATCTTTCCATTATCATGCTTGGTGCTTGGTACATGCTTTTCATCTGAGGATCCATAACATGTTTTTGGTTCTGGAAAGCCCTCAGCCATAACATCCTTGCGTATCGCTCTTCTGCCATTCTGTCTTCTGCTGGAAACCATACATTTAAAGCTTCTCAATCCATCTTGTGTAGCTCCCAGCTGCTCTCCTTGCTGAGCGGTATTTTGGCTCCCTCCAGGGCCAGGCATCCACGGGGATGATGGGATTATTCCGGAGCCCCGCTGTCTGCTGTCTGTGCAGCTGCCAGCCCACCTCACCTCACTCCAGTCTCTGGCCTCTTTTCCCAGGGAGGAGCTCCCTCACCAGCTCAATTTTTAGTGTCTTGGCTCTGGTCTCCTGCCTCCCATGGGATGCCTTAAATCCCTGTATCCTTGGAAGACCAATCTCCCACCCGCCTCTACCTGCTTCTAGGTACAGATCTCTGCAGACAGTCTTTGGTCCCTCAAAATAGTAAGCAGTTTGAGTTTCAGGTCCATTAAGATATACATCTTGATTTTGAAGTTTACTTCTTATTGTTTTGTTTTCTTTTTTAATATTTCCATCTGTCCCTGCTCGGAGTGTGGAGGAATGAGGTAGCAGGCAGGGCCTCGAAGTGTGAACTAGCGTTTGATCCTGCCTGGAGTCCCTGGTTCCTCATCCCCAAATGGCAGTGATAATGCACACTTTTTGAAGCTGCTGTGAGACTTCCTCGAGCTTATTAAATTGTACAAAATACCTGGCACTCTGGATATTAGAGCATCGCCACCCCCACCCGTGCGAGAAAGCTCCCCCTTTGAATCTGAGGTCCTTCTGGTGTTGGGAGGGGGACCCCTTTTAAGATGCAGATATCCCATATCCACAAGGAATGAAATACCTTAAAGCATTATCTTGTGCGGAGACACCTTAGCAGGATGGAATGATGGTCACAGATGTGCCGTGGGAGGTCAGAGGTCAAGGAGATCACAAGGAAGAGGCAGGTGGGAGGAAAGGCAAATTTCACAAACTTCATCATTCCACGGAGGGCTGCTGAGGCCGCTGCCCTGTCCGGCATCATCACAAGTTACCTCCACCCTCTTTAATATTGCGGAGCTACCACCTGCAGAGAGCGTCCCCCCACACACAGCGCCTCCTAATCGCCAGAGTGCTCTGGTGCCCAGAAAACTCCAAAATAGCTTAGGATGAACTTTCTTATCTTTCCTAAAGCAAAGAATATGAAGCTGTGTGTTATGCTATCAGTTTGTCCTTGAATTTCTAGAGGCTGATGAAACTTAACAAGATCAGGAATGTCCCTTCTGCAGCACCAGGCAGTGCGTGGACGGCTAGCAGGTGTGGATGGGGCCGTGAACACCCACACGTGTGGTTGTGGATCTGTGGGTTCCATAGCTGGGTGCTGGAGTGCCCAGTCTGCCTGTGGGGTGGGAGAGACACAGGGAAATTGGTTTCTTCATGCCTTTTTTTTTCCCCACTAGAAAAATATCTAATCATCACAAAAAGATAACTAAACAGAAAGGGCATTTAAAATGTCAGGTTTTCAGCACCACGTGTAGCCTGGCCTAAGATCCTGATAAGAATGTGGAATTCTGTCCTGCAGCAAAAGCCAAATCCTAATGGAAGAAGTTGGGTTTTCTGATGGAAACCCTTGCTCCACGCTGCCCAAGTACTCTTATCTTCCCTTCTTTGCAGTGCCCCACTTCCATCATCTCTGGCTGTAATTAGAAGCTGTTTTCTGGGGGAGTGGAGTGCTAGGTGAAATGTTCTGGGCTGTCAGGCCGGCACCGCTGCTTGTTTTATGCACTTGGATGATGCAGTGGTGTGAGCCTCGTCCCGCTGCTCTTGAAGAGTTTACAATCTAATGCATTTATTCATTTGGACATTCAACACATATTTATTGGACATCTGCTACATGCCAGGCAGAATAGCTCTTCTAATGGCTCACAAACACAGGAAGATGAGTTCTGCAGCCTCACAGATGGTCATAAAGAGCTTAGGATCAAGGGGAGGTGGAGCATGGGACCAGTAGAGTAGGGGCTGTTTTATATGAGGGCCAGGGAGGAGCTTACCGATAACATGACAGTGGAACAGAGATCTGAAGCACACTATGTAGCTATGTGTAGGGAAAGTGTTCCAAGTAGTGGGTATAGCAGTGCAAAGGCCCTGAGGCAGTTGTGTGCGTTGTGGGTTTGAGGAACAGCAAGAAGACCAACAGGATTGGAGCAGTGTCAAGGTTGAGGGGAGAGGTCAGAGATGTGGGGGAGATCCGGTCATGGTCCTCCCAGCAGACCATCGTGAGGACTTCAGCTTTTTCATTCAGTGAAATAAGTGGGGGGGGGGGGTTTCAGTGAGAATTGGTTGATCCTCCTCCTTCCTTTCAAAGAATACTGAAACTTCTATGTTGAGAATAAATCAGAGAGCTGGGCATGGTGGCGTAGCACATGCCTGTAATCCCAGCACTTGGGAGACTGAGGCAGGAGGATCGCTGCGAGTTCGAGACCAGCCTGGGCTACAAAGTGAGCTCAAGGCCAGCCTGAACTGCATAGCGAGACCCTGACTCAAAAAGACAAAAAAAAGGGAGAGAATAAATCGTAGACCATGGTGTCTGTCATAGCACAGTATTTTTCATATTTAATATTGCTCAGATATCTATGTTCTTGCCTGTTGCTACCCTTAGAAATTTCCTTTATAAATGTATGCATTTTAACATTTTATGATTTTAAAATCAATATGGATCATTAAGGAACTTTTAATAGTATGTAGAAAAGCCTAAAAATTAAAAAAAAATCTATAATCCTAATATCCAGCAACAACGACAGTTAACATTTTGGCATGTTCAATTCCAAACTTTTGTTTTGTTTTGTTTTTGTCATTTTGAGGCAGGGTCTCGCTATACAGTTCAGGCTGGCCTTGAATTCACAGGGCTCCTCCTGCCTCAGCCTCCCGAGTGCTGGGATTACAGGCATGCATCACCATTCCTGGATAATTCCAACCTTTTTCTGTTCCCTTTTTCTTTACATTATTGAACCTGTGGTTTAAAATTAACATTATAGCCTGGCATGGTGGTGCACGCCTGTAATCCCAGCACTCCGGAGGCTGAGGCAGGAGGATCATTGTGAGTTCAAGACCAGCCTGGGCTACAAAGTGAGCTCAAGGCCGGCCTGAAGTACATAATGAGACCCTGTCTCAAAATAAAATAAAATAAAATTAACATTATATTATATATATTTCCCAGTGTCACAAAAAACTTGTCTTGTCTATATACATATTCTTTAATTTAGGACATTTAAGTTGTTTTTATTTCTTTGTTTTACTAGCAACTGTGGTCATAGCTCATTGCCTACATTTTATTTTGTTTTATTGGTTTTTTGTTTCAGTGCTAGGAATTGAAACCAGGGACTCACACATGGTAGGCAAGGACTCTTTCATGGAGCTACACCCCCAGATCTTTGGCCTACATTTTAGATTACACCCTCAGAATGGATTCCTCAAAGGAAAAAATAAAACACTGATGTTTTATTTTTTTCCCTCTTTTCTTACGTATTGTTGTTTTTTGTTACTTTTTGAGTCCAGGTCTCACTGTCAGGCTGGCCTTGAGCTCACTATATAGCCCAGGCTGGCCTTGAACTCATGGTGGTCCTCCTGCCTCAGCTTCCCAAGTGCTGGGATTACAGGACCACCACAGCTGACCTCTTATACATTCTTAAATTATTATTTTTGTTTATCTCATAATTAACTGCTGTGCAATTTGATGCAGTTTTTAAGAACAAGGACACATCAACAGTTTTCTGTCTTTGCTGTCTGATAATTGTTGTCTTTATACAAAAAAAACTTGACTGATGATACAGGTGGTCATAATCTTTCCCATTCCAAGTTCTGTGGTTTTCCCCCTTTACCTGCCAACCCCGTGAAAAAAATCACCACCATCAGAGAGCACTGGCAAAG